AAGACCTCTCCCCCGTGAGCTCGACTTGGTCGGGTGTGACGTCGAGAGTGTATGTAAACGTCGTCCCTTCCAGTTCCTGGCTGCGTTTTATGAAGAGCTCCGGTTCGAGGGCATGATGCGGGAGCAGGTCTTTCATCATCTGGTCGTAATTGTCGACAATCTTGACATTGTGTTTTTTGCAAAACTCAAACCAGGCGTCAAAGCCGGCGGGCGGATGGAGGCCATATCGTTTCTTGTACTCTTGCACCGCTTGCTGCAATGTCTTGGACTGTGATCGGAGGAGGTTGTTCCACTTGTCCTCGGCCCGTTCCATGAGCTCGTAAATGGGGTGTTCTTGACGCTTTGCCAAGGGATTCGGGCTGAGGACCGCCATGCCGTTCCGCCCCCACACCAGCGAGCCCTTTCGACCTCGTCTCCCGCCCTTGACCGCGAACCCAAGGGGAGGCGGGGGGATGCGCTCGATGCCCAACCCATGTCGGATACCGAACCAGTAGAGCAGGAAGAAGATGACCACGAGGTAGAGTATCTTTCTTGGTTTGCGGATCGGGCGGGGTATACCAGCATTGGAAAGGGGGAATGAAGACGAGAGGGAACCCGAGGGGTGATGTGTCGGCAGACGATATGAGCGTGATTTGGGGGACACGCCCGAGGCCTTTCTGGGCTTTGGCATGATTTTGGGATGGGATCGGTGGTGGACAGGGGAGATGGTGGTACGCGATTGTCTTTGGGCAATGTCAAGGTATGTTTACGTATTCATTCATGCATCGACCCAGGGACCCGCGCGTCAAGAGTCAGCGTGTTGGGGGGGGGGGGTTTAAAAGGTTTAATCTGTTTAAAGGGTTCGAAAGAGGGCGGCTGCAGACATGTTTCGTGTTAGGCATGGGCGATAGGCGTCGATGACTCCACTCGCAGGTGTAGCTTGTGAATAGGAAATCTGTCCTAACTCTGGTCCTGCGCCCTACGGGACCGCGGAGATTGGGATTGGCCGACGTCATGGAAGCTCGCTTGAAAAGTGGGGAGGGAGGGGGGTTGGCGAGGGGGCGAGGTGGGAGGGCGTAGGCCTGTTTGAAACGGCAATTTGGGCCGAGTCGGTAGTTAGTCCCCTGGTTTCCTGGATATCACGGCTGGGACTGGGATTCGACCTTGACGTTGAAAAAGATAGCAACATCACCTAATACCTATTGCCTCTTTTCTCTTCCCATATCTTACACGTTTGGATTCAAAAGTCGCAACGCTCATTCGCATACCCATAACAACCCCCAGCCATCCCCCTGCCCCCCCCACCCCTGGACCACAACCATGCAAAGGCTCCCTTCCGACTTGGGTTTCACCGCTGTCCGGCCTCCGGCACAGCCCGGGCCGGCCGCCAGTGGAAGTTACGGACCAGCTTTCCCCTCGGACGAGTCACCTTTATCTTCCCCCTATCCCTCTCGACCTGGCTCCAGACGAACCTCCTTTGCCCACCCCATCCCAATGTCATTATCCAGGAGGTCTTCCATGGCCACCGGGCCCCGACCCATCACCAAGGCCGAGTACTCTGGTCCCAACACACCTTCCCTCCTCTCCCGAGCGGGATCCCCTACCTTGCCCTTGGGCAATGACGAGACAAACAGCGTCAGGGGCAGTGGGGAGCTGAGCCGAAGGGGCAGTCTGGGAGGTGGTCTCGGCGGCTTTGGCGGTATGAGTGCGCTGGGGCAGCGTGAACTCCGTCATGGGGAGTTTGTGGGAAGCGTCGACTGCGGGACCACGTGAGATTTGGGACTTTTCCACCTCGAGTACGGAATACTGACCGTTATCCAGTTCGACCCGGTTTATCATTTTCGACAAGCATGCCAAGATTATCACCGAGCACCAAGCAGAGTTTGAGCAGATCCTGCCGCACGCCGGTTGGCACGAGCAAGACCCCGAGGCGTTGGTACAGTGTATGGTGGAATGTATCAACATTGCCATGGAGAAGCTCGAGTGGATGGGATGGGCAAAGACTAGCGTCAAGGGAATCGGTGCGTGACCCACCCTTCAGCCTTTGCACCCTTTGTTGACAACAGGCATTACCAACCAGCGTGAGACGACCCTTTGTTGGTCCCGCGAGACTGGAAACCCGCTCTGCAACGCTATCGTTTGGGACGACGCGCGGACTAACGGCGTTGTCCGTCAGTTTGAGAAAAAGCTTGACGAGGAGGGATTGGAGATTGACGACGAGGACGAGGAGCTGGATGGGGTTCCCGATGAGGTCGAGATGGGCACAGGCACAGACGAAGCGGCCATTGGGGAATCTGGCGAAATCGAGGTGAACGGTCAGGCCAACGGTGCTGTGGGTGCCGTCGGGAAGGCGTTGGAGAACTTGGGATTCGCAGGTCGAGGCAAAGAGGGCGGGAAGCGTCGAAGAAAGGGCAAAGAGGGGCTGGTCGATGTGTACGTTGTCTCTGCCGTGACGATATGTCGCTAAATCCCAGCACCGGTCTCCCGCTGTCGACCTACTTCTCCGCCATCAAGCTCCGATGGATGATAGATCATCACAAAGAGGTCCACGATGCTCACGAAAAGGACGATTTGATGTTCGGTACCGTCGACACCTGGCTCGTCTACGTGCGTCTCGCCCTTTGCCTCGGGTCCCACGCTGACAGTTCAGAACTTGACGGGACGAAAAGATGGTGGTCTCCACATCATGGACGTCACCAACGCCTCTCGTACCCTGTTGATCTCGCTCAAGACTCTCGCTTGGCACCCCCCTCTCCTCCGATTCTTCGGGTTGAAACCGTCCATCCTTCCCAAGATTGTCTCCTCGGCCGAGGTTTACGGAAACATCCACGCCAACTTGGAGACCGCGCTCACTGGAGTGCCGATTGCTGGTATTGTCGGAGATCAACAAGCCGCTCTGGTTGGTAACAAGTGTCTCCGAAAGGGCGAGGCCAAGACGACATACGGCACCGGTGCTTTCGTCCTTTTCAACACGGGTGAAGAGGTCGTGCGGTCGGAGAACGGTCTGATCAGTACCGTGGCGTACCAAGCCGGCAAGGACTCGAAACCTGTCTACGCGTTGGAAGGTTCCATCGCAGTGGCCGGTTCTGCCATCAAATGGTGAGTCTAACGCTGCCCCCCCCCCCCCCGCCTCCCCTGACAACAGGCTGCGAGACCAGATGAACTTGATCGAGGAGAGTTCCGACATGGACATGCTTGCGGGCTCGGTCGAGGACACGGGAGGGGTGTACTTTGTCACCGCTTTCAGCGGTCTCTTGGCTCCGTACTGGGACAGAGAAGCGGTGAGTTTTGGCCACTATTGGATGGTCGCTGATATCAAGGGAGGAATGATCATGGGTCTCACCGCCTACTCGACCTCTGCTCATATCGCCCGGGCAACACTCGAAGCGGTGTGCTTCCAGACCCGAGCCGTCTTGGACGTGATCGAAAAGGAGAGCGGGACCAAGCTTGAGACGTTAAAGGTCGACGGTGGTGTGACCAACTCTGACCTTGCCATGCAGCTCCAAGCCAACGTACGTTGCCCCTTGCATGCCCAGCCCAAGCTCACCTCCAGATCGGTGGATTCAACGTTGCTCGACCGTCGATGCGAGAATCCACAGCGCTCGGATCGGCCCTCCTCGCAGGCCACGCCCTGGGACTCTTCGGATGGGACTTGACAAAGCCAGAGACGCTCAACAAGGTCAACACGGCCGACGCCCATGTCTTCGAGTGCGAGATCTCAGAGCCTCAACGTCTGAAAATGATCAGAGGGTGGGAGCGGGCTGTCGACCGTGCGCGTAAATGGCACACCGCCGAGGAGGAGGACGAGGAGGAGGAGGCGTATGAAGCCAAGACGGGATTACAGAGAGTGCAGTGATAGATTCATGCTGTACATTTCAATAGACATAGTGGTTTGGCAGGATGCAGCTTATATACTGAGGGCGGCACGTTGTGCTGGAGACTCAGTCTCTCACCATATCGGACTGGACGCGACTACCATGAACCATTGCATCCCCGGACGCCTCTGGTTCTTCGTGACGTCCAACCCCCGCTCCGCCTGCATCACCCCAGCTTGGATTGCGTTGATGTCAGATGCGTCCGTGTTCAGAGTCGTCCATCACACCCCACAGCCCGATCTGAGCTACCCAGCGGTGTAATCCCATGACATCTCTCACGTGTCGACCCCCGCATTCTGCCCTTGATCCCCATGCCCTCGTCCGTCCTTCGCCGTCCTTCGCATACACCCTGCCGCAGTCTCTTTCGGAGATGTGCCGACGAGTCCGTCATGAGCTAATGCCTCTCCGACGATGAGCCGGACATCTCTACCATCCGGTCGACAATGCAATGCAGAGCATGGATGATTACGAACGAGAGCGCGAGCACGAGATAGAGGCGGAGATTGCGCGTGGAAGCAAAGGTATAAGATCCGGCGTCGTCCGAACTCGTAGCGAAAAGCTCGACATGCCTAGGCTCTTCCTTGGCGTATGCCGTCACGATAAGACACCCTTTGCCCCCTGGAACCACCGGGCGATACTTAGCTGATCCTTGCCGCTTGCAGGTGATGGACGAATGAGTCCGCCAGCGCGGGCGGGTCTCGCATCAGCCAGTGTACGATTCCAGGCTTCGAGGGATAAATCATGCTGCGTTGTCTTGCGGACTACCTGATAGGTAGCATGCAGCGGGTACAGAGCTAAGGAGCCGGAGTTGATTCGGCATTCGATACATCGGTGCGATGGTAAGTGGAATTGTGTGTTCATTCGGGAAGTCAACTAGCTATTGGCCTGGTCAACTGGTCAGGCCCTATATGTTCGCTAGAAAGGGTAAGAAGCTCAGTCTCCAAGCCGCTCGGAGGCAGATGAGGTAGAAACACATGACAATCTGCGATACAGCCATCATTCGAGGCAGCGCGAACCTGTTCCCTCGAAGTCTTCGAAGAAAGGAGTGGACGTTGTAAAGAACAGTGATCGCAAAAAGCCAAAAAGTAAGATCTGGATCAGGGAATCGAACCCCCAAGAAGGTCTCTTGGGGGCGCAAAAAGAGTGTTCTGGATCGGGGAATCGAACCCCGCTCTACCGCGTACGCTAATTGATTACGTAATGAAAGGCGGTTATACTAGCCGATGTACTAATCCAGATGATTCTGCTGTTTTCCAGCTGATATTTGCTGAACTGGGTTTGCGTTATATATACTTAATGATTATGATTGGGCGGTACCGATCTGTTGTCCTCTGGTCCTACTGCACCCTTTCCGCCTTGGCTGAGACATAGGATGCCGAGCCGTATTCACCTGCCAGAGGCTGGTTGAGTTGCTCCTCGTGCCTTCCGTGAAGCCTGAGCTCCGCTGTCTTCCCAGCCCCTGTGTCAGCTGTTGGCCGAATGCGCTACTCCCCCGGGTGCGTCGTAAAGTTTAGTTAGTTCCCGTGATGATTGCAGCTCGTTATCCTCTTCCAGACAAGATTCGGAGGTGTATCACACTGCCAGTATACTGCTCTCGGTAGAGTAGTGTCCGCTCTTGGCAGACGGTGACACTGGTGGCATTGTTACCGATAGTCGAGGGCAAAGCAGGCTGACTATCGAAGGGTGGGGTGAGGTGGCTTCGTGCAGAAGGCAGCTAGCAAATGATGTTGCTGCCCAATGAAGTCGCCGTGAATCTCCACCCCTGGGGTCTGATTTCGGCGCATCGGCGTCCTCAATGTGCCTCACGGGAACTGTAGAGGCGAAGTGAACTGAAAGAGCCATTCCTGCGCCTCGGCCTCGCTCCCCATCAGCGCAGACCGTTGGGTGAAGGGCGCTCGCAGAGACTGGGTGGTGTGATAACCCTCGCACCGCGTCTTGTACTCGTAACACCGTATGCTCCTACGACTCGTGGATCACCCAAGCTGGTTCTGTAGGGAAGGGGGAGCCCTGCGCCCCGATGTGAGGGGCAGCATATTAATCTTATACGTCTCGCGGTGGCGAGCACGGTCAGCGAGTGCCCGCTGTGACATCCGAAACACACCAAAGCAGGTTGATCGATTGCTTGATGGGCGCGGCATCGGTCGAGGTCAGATCTTTCAGTGAGCGTATAGCTTAGCTTTCAGCAGCCCGGCCCCAATCTGGCGAAGTTTAACGGCTCCGACCCGAATCCCGAGGTTAGTGTTCATGCCTTGGCGCCATGGACCTCGCTTCTTGACTCGTCCCTCTCTTGTCATTCTCCTTGATCCTCACAGCCTTCTGGCAATCCTTCTCCCTCTCCTCTCCTATCGGTCCACGTCCCTCTTACTGGACTTCTTCGCGTCCACTTTACTGACGATGAGACTGGAAGTGGCGGCTGGCTTTGGGCGGAGGGCGTTCGCTGTCTGAGCAGACTTTGCGGATAGTATGGCACGTCGCACAGAGGGACCTTTTTTCAACAGCATGGGCCAAAGCCTTTGGAGGTCCGATGAGTCGCTGATGGTAATCGTGGACTCTTTCTCCTGATCCCGCAGAGGTTGATCTCGACGGCAACTGACACAAAGTCCCAGTATGCTGTGAAAGCAAGATGTCTTGCAAAATTCGTGTTTACGGCGAGCGATCCGCCTTCCAACAGTCATCCTTGTACATCACTAAGCTGTAATCACGGCGGCCAGGACGAACTCTCCACACTCCCACTGTCCATACTTCACATGCATCGGTAGGGTTGACAGGCCTGTCCCACATCTATCGGCAGCACGCATTAAGGCTAGATACAATCTCAAGCGAATCCATCTAGGCAGTTTTAGGCTCGTTTGCGACAACGCTCCACTCGTGCTCGATCTCTCCGGTCTGGATGCCGACGATAGTGTCGAGAACACCCTTGGCGATGGGACCAAGGCCGGCGGGTCCGGTGGGGATGACGATATCTCGACCCTCGTAACCGATCCTGCGGGTTAGCAATTGATTTGAAAGGTCATAGGCGTCCCGGCCTCACTTGTCAACAGGCGAGACGATGGCGGCGGTTCCGGTACCGAAGACCTCTCTCAACGTGCCATTCTTCTCGGCCTCGGTGAGCTCCTTCATGACCATCTTCCTCTCGGTGACCTTGAGCTTCTCCGGGAGACCGGGAATCTTCTGTTCCCCCCTGGCATGCGCTCGGGCGAGCTCCAGAACACTGTCGCGTCAGAACCGGACCGTGCCATTCGCGACGAGCTCACCTATCACGGGTAACACCGGGGAGAACAATGTCGTCCAAGGGGGGAGTCACGAGCTCGACAGTGCCGTCGGGTTGCTCGATGGCGACGAACAGGTTCATGGTTCCGACCTCGGTGAGCATGTGCTCATCGCCAAGCAGCCAGAGGTTCTGGCTGTAACCCTCCTTGGCGGCCTCGGCCTGGGGCACGACACCCGGCGCGTAGCTATCCGGTCAGCCGGGCCTACAAGAAATACGGCCCGTCTCACTTTGCTCCGAGCTTGTACCCTCCGGTTCCGCCCGGGGCAGCTCTAACGTATTTGGTGGTAGCAAGAAGTTGTACGGGTTTGAAGCCACCTAGGGATTAGACATGACCATTGGGACGAAACTGCGATGCATACTGGCGTAGTATGGTCCGACCTGGGGATCAGCGACCGCAGTCACGGTTGACAATCTCGACTCACAGGGGAGCAGATGACAAAGAGCAGGGCATCGCTCGAGGGTCCAACACCGAGCGCGTTTTGGGTCCCGATAAGTGTGGGTCCTAACACTGTCAACCAAGGTTTCCCGTGTGGGCCAAGACGACGCACGGATGTAAAGCGAGTATCCCTTCTCCTTGGGGATCCACTCGCTATCTAAGACGACGAGCTTCTTGATGAGCTCGGTGAGTTGTTCACCGTCAAACGTCTACAATAAGCGTCCTGCCTCTACGGGCGGACCTTGACATACGGGCAAGGCGATACGGGCAGCGCTCTGGCGGTCAGGAATCTGTCCGGACGACGTGAAACACTCAACTCGCCTTGTTCATACGAGCCATGTTCTTGTCTGGTCGGAAGAGTCGAACGGTACCGTCTTCTTGCCTGTACGCCTTCATGCCTTCGAACAGGGTGAAAGCGTAGTGGAAGACGGTCGAGGAAGGGTCGAGCTCGAGAGGCCCGTCTAAAGGTGAGAGGGTGCTTGTGAAACCGTACAGACACACTCACAAGGCTTGATCTCGGGTGTACCCCACCCGGTCGCCGTGGACCAGGGGATGGTGAGCATGTGGTCGGTGAAAGTGTGTCCAAAGACGAGCTTAGACGAGGGTGGTCTTGTCTTTGGCTTGGTGTTCTTCTCCACTTTGAGGAGAGAGGCCTGGAAGATGAGCTCTGCAGTTCTAGGAACCGGCGGAGGGGCACTTGCATCGATATCTGGGAGCTGGATGAGCTCGCCGGTCATGACATCTCGAGTGGGTTGTCGATACGCCCTGGTCGCGATCGGGGTGAGGGCGGGAAGAGCAGTTCTTCTGATCGCGGCACGAGAGAGCGCGCGCGTGGACGCGGCGAGAGAGCGGAGAGAGGCCATGGTGGTATGACCTTTCAAGGTGAAGTGTGAGATGTTGGAGTTTATGGAGAGATACCATCTCGACTCGACCGAGTGGAATTCGTCGGACCTTCGGGGGGCGTGTGTCCCGGCCGGAAAGGCAGGTGCTTTGGATTTGATCCCGTCGTCGGGTGACGTTGGGGTCTCCACATTTCTTCAAAACACTCCAAGAGGCAGCAGAAGGGTGACGTCGAGCCAAAGCTCTCATATTCCACAGCCATACCTTTTGTCGTTACCTTTGCCATCCACTCATCCCACGTATCCCTCAAACACCCTTCAGCATGAACACAGCCAAAGTAGGAAGTCTCTGGGGCAAAGTCAGGGAGGGCGCCTTCACGGCGTCCACCCAAGCTCAAGCCATGTTCAAGGTGAGTCCACGACCTCTTGGCCCGTACGAGGGCACCCCTTGAAGATGCTGATCCGTCCCAGGACGGTTCCAGCAGAGCGGCAGTCGGTGGATCCAACCTCATGCAGAGCTTTTCCCTTCCTGGAGAATCGGAAAAAGCAGCCAAGATCCTCGCCCACTTCCTTGGTGAGTAAACGACCTCGACCCTCCAGTATCCCAAGAGCCTTACTGATCGTCCAGCCGACCCTTCCCAGCCTCATTCCGCCCTGAACTCGATCCCCAAAGCTGTGCTTCAGCGTGCAAGAGGTACATTACCCTTCTACGTACCGTATCCATCTCATCATAGGCCTCGCAGTCTTCACTATCCTCAAAGCTGGATTCGTGTTCTCCGGCAAAGCAGGCTCGGGTATTGTCATCGCTCGACTGCCGGACGGTTCTTGGTCCGCACCGTCGTGCATCGCCACGGCTGGTGTCGGATGGGGACTTCAAATCGGAGCGGGTGAGGCTTCCCTCAATACTCAGATACCGTTTCATCGAGGTCTGACAAGCAGACTTGACAGAAGTTGTCATTGTCCTCAACTCGGACGAGGCGGTCAAGGCGTTCTCGCGAGGTGGAAATGTCACCGTAGGAGGCAAGTCGGGCGATATGATGAGTTCCTCTCCTGACCATCAGGTGGAATTTCCGCAGCCGCAGGACCCATTGGGACAGGAGGGAACATCGCAGCCTCGCTGGCCAATCCAGCTCCCATGTTCTCGTACTCCCGATCCAAGGGTATGGCCTAATCTCATCGATAGCCTCAAGCTGACTAGTAGGCCTTTTCGCGGGACTGACCCTCGACGGAACAATCTTGGTGGAGCGAAAAGACGCCAACAGGGAGTTTTACGGTAGCGCCATCTCGTCGACCGACATTCTGACGTGGGTTTTGCTGTCTATCTCACCCTCTCGCTCGCTACGTCCTGTATCACAACGCCAATACTGACATCCAGCGGTCGAGTGCCCGCTCCTGAGATCGCTTCGGCAATGTACGATATCATCGAAGGTGAGCACACGACCTCTGTGTACAAGGGCACAGCTCAAATACCAGCCGCCGAGGGTCTCGATGAGACAGGCCTTCCGGCTGAAGGCTACGTTCCGACTGCCTCGGGCCAGCAAACGCCTCTCCCTCCCCCTAACCAGGGATACTCGGTCGGAACGGGAGCTCCAGGTGTGGGCGCAGGCAACAAGACGGTGTTCGATGCGGCCGACCGGTGATGGCGGCGAAGACGGGTGAGATCTGTGATCGATGTAGATATTGTCTTTGTCT